CGTCCTCCCTGGACTGACCTATCTCCTCCCTACCTCCCCACCTACACTCACCTTTACTGGCTCCATCCCCGCCTCTTTGACCTGTCTGTTTCCTCTCCACCTATCTTCTCCTCTATCCATCTTCTATCCGCCTCCCCCGCTCTCCCTATTTATTTCAGAACCCCCTTCCCCTCCCCCTTTTCTGATGAAGGGTCCAGGCCCGAAACGTCAGCCTTCCTGCTCCTATGATGCTGCTTGGCCTGCTGTGTTCAACCAGCTCTACACCTTGTTATCTCAGATTTTCCAGCATCTGCAGTTCCTACTATCTCTTTTACTAAATGCTGTCTGCTTTAAATCTAAGATCAATCCATTCTAAAGCATTTTAAACATTCTGAAAAATCCAGAACTTAAGGAAGAAAGGAGGAAAAGTTCAGTTTGTGCAAGTTTCTGCAGCAGACAATGGGTGCCGAGATCTGAATGTGCACTAGAACACATAAGTGAGAAGAATGCAAATCATTAGTGTTTATGGCCTCATTAAGATTGCTTGAGCTGCCATCGGTATTTGCATTGTTTAGTGACACCTCGCAAACTGGGGTTAGAGGCAGGGATGGAGAGAGACATTTGGTGTTGGTGAAGCCATTTAAACACAGCCTGGACTAGTTAAAAGGGAAGTGCACTTCGGCTGCTGTCAACCCAATAAAAGTTATATGGGAAAAATAGTATTTAGAGGTGTAAAATCAAGTCTTCCATGCTGTTCTGGTGCTGTTTTAGTGATGCTGTTGACAGAATGATCATGTGGTCATCTCTTGAGAGGGCTAGAAGATGCCAAGTCATGTTGTCTGGCAACCCATAAACACACACACATTCACCTTCTTTAAATCGAATGTTGTGAAATTAAAAAATGGTACAGGCCATTCCAATATAAAAGCACACATTATTATGGGATAGAAACATCACTTAAGCATGTTTACTTGTTCCAGTAAATGAGTAATATATACACTCCATATCCATGTACTGAATTAAATTTCAACTAACTTAATATGTGCTCTTACTGTGTTCCAAGGAATGTACGAGTTATTAACTGCTAAATGTAATTTCTTAGAATATTGAGTGTTATTAAGAAACAGACAGCATAAAACTTACCAAAATAGACTAGATCCCTTCTTAGAGATAGCAAGAAGTGCAGATGCTGGAGTCAGAGATAACACATTATGGAGCTAGCGAAGTACAGCAGGCCAGGCAGATCAGAGGAGCAGGAAAGTTAACATTTCAGTCGGGATCCTTTGTCAGAAATGACTGATCTGTGGTCTAACTCCATGAGGTGAACGGTGAGTCTCCCCATTGCAATTATAGACTGATAATACAATTGACTGGCAAATGTGTAGTAGCACTAGAAACAAGTTGTGGCCATTGCTGGGTCGACAAGGGAATTGTTGAAAAAGGCTGTCTGAATTCTGGAATAAGGTAAGCCCGGGTCTTTGTTGGGGTCTCTAGGGAGAGTGGATAAGGGCAGTGAGAAGTCAGGTTCTGGACACCTCGAGGCAGCAAGTGCAGATACCACTTCAGAAGTGATGGTGGAGGGAAGGAGTCAGTGACAGGGTTGTCCCCATTGGGCATGGAGTTTTCCCCAGGAAAGAGGTTTGCACAAATTTTTGAAAGAATAGGCTGGACTTCTTAGTTTTACTGGTCCCACCCTCTGTCCTGTGGTTACAGGCACAAAATTAGGCCCTTGGATAACAGTTAAGAGCTTCAATGGGCCTAAGGGTGGATGGGCTGACTGACTCATTAAAGGACAAGAGCTCAAAGGAGGGTGAGAAAGCTGAGAGCTCGTCATTCTTTCTGTGTGCTACCCTATCTAAAAATGCATTAGTGGGAGCTGTTGAACTCACTACAAGATACCCACATTCACCCATATCCTTCATAACTTTGCTTAAATCTTTCAATTTCAGATTTAAAGTTAACAGTTGATATAGGATCAAGTTGCCACTTGCAAAAGGAAATTCCAACCTTCTATCCCATGTATTTCCAAAAATGCTTTTACAGTAGAAGACACTAATAGCATTCCTGCATTGCTCAATAATCAAGAGGCAAAAGGAGGAATGGAAATAAGTACAATAACTACCATTAGAAAAAAAGTGTTAGGGAAATTAATGGGGTTAGAGACTGATAATTCCCCTGGTCCTGATAGGATGAATCCTAGGATGTCGAAGGATGTAGTAACAGAGTTAATGACTGCACTGGTGGTAATCTTCCAAGAATTATTAGATTCTGGAAAAATTCCAGAGGATTTGAATTGAATACTTTGATGCATTTTGGTCTTCACCAAGTGATAATGCCAAGGGATCTGATCAATGTGGGCTATGGAAAAAGGTGTGGCAAAATCGGGAGACAGGTGCAGAGAGGCCCAACTTGACAGCATGTTCATCTTGCTCTATCTTTTATGCTTTTAACAAGCGGCATGGCGAGATTCTTACTATCCATCTACGAGATGCCAATTGACAATCATTATTGATTGTTAAATACAGGATCTGATAAGTTGCATTTTAGGATATTAAAGGAAGTAGCTACATAGATAGTAAATGCACTGGTTATAATCTTCCAAGAATGCTTAGATTCTGGAAAAGTCCCAGAGGATTAGTAAAATGTCAATATGCATCCTTATTCAAAAAAGGAGGAACAAAAAACAGGTAACTATCACCCACTTAGCTTAATATCTGTCATGGAGAAAATGTTAGGATCAATTATAAAGAATGTACTAGTAGAACATTTAGAAATACTTAATATAATTAGACAGTCAGCATGGCTTCATGAAGAGGAGATCATGCCTAATAAATTTATTAAAATTATTTGAGGAGGTAAGAAGCAGGATAGATAAAAGGGAACTAGAAGATAGAATATAATACATAAGCCTACTTAATGAGATAAGAACCCACAATGTCGAAGATAATGTATTAGCATGAATATAGTCAAAAATCACACAACGCCAGGTTATAGTCCAACAGATTTATTTGAACACACAAGCTTTTGGAGCATTGCCCGTTCCTCCACAGCATGAATACAGGATAGATTAATTAATAGGAAAGGGAGATTGGAATAAGGGGACATTTTCAGGACGACATCCGGTAAATAGTTGAGTGCTGCAGGGATTAGTAATAAGGCCACAATTGTTTAGAATATGTATTGATGATTTAGATGAGGAAACTGAATGTACTATTGCCAAGTTTTTGGATGACACAAAAATAGGTGGGAACGATGAAGGTAGGCAAGTGGTGAAGATGACACAGGAGTCTACATAGGGTATAGACAGGTTAAGTGAGGCAGAATCCTGACAGAATATAATGTGGGAAAATGTAAAGTTAAGTATTAGTAGAGGAGCTGAAAATTATTTATATGGAGCAAAACTGCAGAAAACTACAGCACAGAGGGATTTTGGAGTCCTCATGCGTGAATGAAAAAAACTAACATCCAAATCCAGCGAGTAAGAGGGAGGGCAAAGGGAATGTTGGTTTCTATTTCAAAAGGAGCGGAGCAAAAAAATAAGGAGGTCTTGCTAAAACTATATAAGGCAATTGACAAACACAACTGGAAAACTGTAGACAGTTTTTACCCCCTATCTAAAGAAACATATATTGGCATTTGTGACAGACCAGAGAAGGTTCATCAGCTTGATCCCAGACTTATGAAGATTATTTTATGATGAGAGGTTGAGTAAGTTGAGGTTGTAATCTTTGGAATTTAGAAGACTGGGAGGCGACATTATTGAAAAATGCAAGATTCTTAGTTGTTTGCAAGGTGGATGTGGAGAGATTGTTCACCTTGTGGGAACGTCTAGCAGCAGAGGATATAAACTGTCATCTTTTAAAGCCGAGATGATGAAGAGTTTATTTTCTGAGGGTTGTGAATATATGAAATTCTTAACACAGATAGCTGTGAATATTGGGTTGTTAAGTTAGTCAAGGATGAGATTTTTAATTGCTAAAGGAAACAAGGGTAATGGGAAAAGGCAGGAAAGTGGAGTTGAGCATTATCATGACTTAACACTTGTGGCGCAGTGAGTCATAGGAACAAAGGAATCAGCCCTTCAAACCTACTTTGCCATTTAATATGGTCATGGCTAATCTTATCCTGATCTCAACTCCACTATTCTGCCTGCTCCCCATAGCCCCAATTAGAAATGACTTTCTGCTTTCATCAGAAGCATATCTATATTGTTCTTGAATCTGTTGATTGGTTCTGCCTCCACTGCACTCTGGGGCAGTGAGTTCCACAGATTCACAACTCAGTTTTGAACTTACCTCCTCTCACTCTATATCTATGACCTCTTGTTTGAGATTGTCCCACAAGGCGGAACAAGTGTTCAACATCCACCTTACCAATCCCCTTTAGCATTTTATATACCTTAACCAGATCCTCCCTCATTCTTCTGAACTCCAACAAGTACAAGCCCATGTGATGCAACTGCTCCTTATACAACAACCCTTTCATCTATGGAATCAATCTGGTGAGCCTCATCTGAACTGCCTCAAGTGCCACTACATCCTTCTTCAAGTAAGGAGACCAAACTGGACACAGTACTGCAGGTGTAGTCTCACCAACGCCTTATATAATTGTAATAACATTACTTCTATAACCCAGTCCTTTTGCAATAAATGCCAGGATTCCATTTGCCTTTCTTATTGTATGCTGTACTTACATTCCCATTTTATGAGATTCATGCACAAAGGTCCCTCCCAGATCCCTCTACACTAATGCACTTTGAATCTGCTAGTGTCCCTATCTCTGGACTGGGAGGCTTGGGTTCAGGTCCCACTTGCTTCAGAGGTGTATAATAACATCTCTGAACAGGTTGATTAGAAAATAGGTTGAACTGCGAAGCTGACTTCATGGACCAAATAGCCTGCTTTTGCTCCTATGTCTTATTGTCTTGAAGATATTTATAGACTGAACATCCATTGCTCTATAGATCAGAGAATTCCAAAGATTCCCAACCCTTCGAGTGAAGAAACTTCCTCTCACCTCAATTCTAAGTGGCCAACCTTTTATTCTGAGATTATGGCCCTGTGTTTTTGACCCACCAACCAGGGGAAATATTTTCACAAAATTTGCATTGTCATCTCTGATTCTTCTAACCTTGAAGGAATATAAGCCTACTACACTGTACCCCCTCATCCCAGGAAAGATTCTGGTGAATATGCATTGCATTCCCTCAAGCATAAGCATATCTTTCCCTATGTAAGGAGACAAAACAACTGCACACATTACTCAATGTGTGTACTGACAAATGCCTGATATAATTGCAGGGAGACTTTTTAACTCCTATAAATATCCTTTTTCTCATTACGTGATGGAAACGAGGAGGTATGTTAGTTTTGATAAAAACATGACAGGTTCAAATGAAGTAAATAAAGAGAAGCTATTTTTATGTAGTGAAGAGTTGATAACCACAGGACACAGAATAAATATGATTGACAAAAGAACCAGAGACAACATGATGAAAAACATTTTAATACAGATTGGGAATGTAGCTGCAGATATCATGATGGATGCTGATTCAATAGTAACATTCCACAGGAAATTACCTAAATACTCAAAGGAATTTCGGGAAAGAATGGGACTGGATTTCTGTCTGAAAAACCCAACAGAAACTCACCTTCTGTGCTCTAATGTTCTATGATAATTTAAAACATACAGCTAGTTCTGCTCTCATAATTACAGATTACGGATTTATTCCCTTCTCTCTACTTGTCTTCCTCTCTGCAATTATGTATTAATTATTCTTTTCCCCTGAGCAGAAACTTGAATGTTTCTTTCTCTGAAATAGAACTCAAGCAGGTGCTGGTTTATCCATTCATGGATGAAAGTCTGTGATCCCTACCAATCCACCCCAATTAGATTAGTTACATACCTGTTTATGATAGTAAGCTATTCACTTATGGTATTTGGCAGTTCATTGAATTGAATTAGAAATAAATGAACAATAGTGAAACTTTAATGACAATTATTGTATTGGAGTAGTTGGCAGAAGCAAAATAAAAATACATTGAGGTAGATTTGGATAGTCATGAATGGGACCACAATGAATAAGTTACAGATAGCTGGATAACTGAGAAGAAACACTGAAGAATGCTGAACAAGATGAAAAACCAAATTCTGTTGAAGTGGTTGATGATGATAATTGATTTTTATTGATTATTGTCCTGTGGTTACAGTCATGTAGCAATTGTTCATGAATTTGGCTGTGGAAGAGATGGACACAGATCTGGGAGGTGACTGACCATATAAAACATTTAACATTGTTAGAGGAGAAATGCAAGTTGAAGACAGGGCA